TTACAGAGGCACTGCCATCTTGTCCGGCTGGTCACAGGATACACATGGCTCATGGTTTAGGATGGAGAAGAATGCAATGAATTCACCTTCCTTGTGGTGACCCGTGATAACAGGCTGTTGTGAATAAGGCAGGAGTTGCCTGCCTCCTGAAACATTTAAACAAAAGGGAACACAGTCCAGGAAGTTAAGTTCACATGAAAAAATTATCTGAGCCACCCTCTCAGGCTCTGTTCAATGTTGTTTTGACATTGAGATGACACCTGTTTTTTGGAATCCCAGAAGTGTAAGGGAATCAGAGCTGGGAATGACCTTGGAGGTCACCCAGGCTGCCCCTCCAGCCAGCGCTGTCCGGCACTGCCCTGCGCTGTGGGATTACGTGTTCAGGCAGCGTCATTGCTGCAGGCTCAGGAGGCATCAGAGGCGTGGGGCTCTGTGGACATGCTGGACATCTCTGGACACAGCGAGACATGCTCACTGAGGATTTTGTTAAATGTCCGTGTTGGGCAGCCTTTGGCCAGATTTCAGGGTCTTCCTGAGTTGTATGTGGGCAGCCCCAGATGAGCCCGAGTGGGTGCTGCATTCAGCCATCTTGGCCCAACCAGTGTGCCCACCACGCACAGTGGTGTTAGGTGAACATATCAGTGCCGACCACATCCTTCCAAGCCAGGCAGACAGGCCCTTGCACTGCACAGGAAGATGGTCCTCACTGAGCCAGGCTGCCCATCTTCCGGTCCAGTGAGGGACCTGGCCACCTGGAGGCCACAGTCCTTTGGAGGCCAGCAATACAAGTTGAGATGGCAGCAGCTGCTAGCCAGTAACGTGAGCAGGGGAGGCAGGCCAGGCAAAAGGAAACCATGTCACCCTCTCTGACTACCTCTTATTTTTTCACATTTGATGGAGGTGTAGGTTCCTAGAAGTGTGTCTCTACAAGGAAGAAATCAAATCTACAAGTGAGATGAGGACTTGTGGGGGCCCACAGTGCGGGAGATGGGAGATTCGAACCCCACGCCAGCAGGAAGGCCCTGCCCCACCCAGTGGTCGCTGCCCTGGGGGAACACTGGAAGCTGGAAATCTATAAAGTCCCCTGGCTTTCCAATTTCGGCTCAAACTTTCAAAGAATACTGCATAGGCCAGATAGAGGATACCTTCCTGCTGGCTGCGCCCCGAGGCACAGAGAAAGAACGCCGAGTGGGGGTGCAGTATGCAGTGCACATGGGGAGAGGCGTAGGTTACACTCACTGTTGCCATGGCAGGGCTCAGGGGAGAATCTCTTAAATACAAGATCTGGTCAAATGGGACTTAGGTGACTTCAGAATCAATACAGAAATATCTGCGTTCTTCCATAAATGACATAATTATTCCTGTACTCAGAAGACGAATTGCTTTTTTTTCTGGTCCAAGATGGCTAATTTTAGGGGCCTCTTGGAGCAACTTCCTGAGCAGGTTCCACTTGCACACCCTTGGTTTATGCGCTGCACCCCATGACCAGCTGAAGGACAACTGATTCTTGGCATCCTTCAGAAATTTTTGAAGGGAAATTGGCTTCTTGACTGCACTGAAAACTGTGCACACTATAGCCCAATGGGGCTTCTGCAGCTCATTAGCCTAGTGAGGCTACCACAATGCCCACTCACCAGAAGATGCTGCTCCCCAGATCTCAGGCACCACTGAGCCACCGGGGGCTGCTGCAAGCCCCACTACCCAGGCCTACCACCCATCCCCCAGTGACCTCCCTTAACATAGGGAGCAAACTGTGACTACTTTAGCCTGAGCCTGCTGGGTCAGAGCTGGGGCAGAAGGGCAGTCCCTGGGGAAGAAACAAGGAAGCCATATGCCCCCTCACCTCAGGCTCTGGAGCAGGCACAGCCCAGTTAGATGGACAGTTTAGGAAGGGCCCGAACTTTCTCTGAGGACCCTAGGGGTCAGGCCCCATACAGGTGCCTTAGCACCTTCAATGGACATCTGAGGGCCCTAGGACTGGGATCAAGGAGTCCCACCTGACAGGTGCCCCATTCACCTCTGTTCATTCATCCATTCACTCAAGGAATATTAAGCCTACTGTGACCAGGCACTTTTCTAGTCCCCAGAATAAATCAACAAACAAAAATGAACAAATGGCAAATATCTCTGTCCCTATGGGGTATACATTATGGATTATGGTATCTATCACTGTGACTGTGGTTGGCAGTGAAACTTTTGGCAGCAAAGCTTATTTTTGGGACATATGCTCCTTGTTACAAGTGATGTTGTCTTCATTGGCTACAACTCCATGAGGCCAGTGACCCATGTCCTGTTCACCGCCATATCGCCAGCACCTGGCATGTAGTACGTGCTCAATGAATATGTGTTGAGTGAGTTCATCGTTAAGTTAATGTATGCTTATGTCCAAGCCTATAGAAAATTATATAAGCATTTATTTCAGGAAAAAATAAACTGAAGGCCAGCCAGAAGCAAAATCTCAAAGGATTGAGCAAATGCTTCAAAAGTGGCAGTTTTGCAGTTCCTTTTATACATTTAGAAATAAAGGAGAAAATGTAAGGAAGGTTACATACAATCCATTGCTGGTAAATTAGGGAGGCAGCAGAAGGCAAAGCAGGGAAATCTGTAGGATTGGATAGAAAGTAAAATAGATACATACTTCTTTTACAGTAGTAGGTACAGGATATTTATCATTTCACATTTACAGTAAATAGAGATGGTCCGAGGCAACAAGATAACAATAAGGCGTTTCCTGGTGCAGATGGCTATGCCTTTTCCAAGGGGTCTGAAAAGACAGTTATTGACATTCTAAGGGCATGTTCTCCCAGATGCACAAAACAATGGACGGGGCTCACTTAAGGCACAAATTAACCTTTTATAAGGAATCGATAGGCGCAGACGGTGCCCATGCACTGTGACATGCCCAGCTGGGAATTTGTGAGTAGACATCCTGTGTGGTCCCTCTGGTCACTGTGCTTGGCAGGGTTGCTACATCGCCTCTGTTTTCCTCACATGTAAAAAGAAGCAGAC